GTTGCCAGAAGTGAAAAAACATTCATTTGAATAAACAAAAAAATTAGGAAAATGTCTTTATAAGTTCAAACTTCCGAAAAAATATTCGAAGTGAAAACTGTATTGATGTTTCATCATGCATTATTTTGTATATCATGATATATGAAATCATAGCCTGGGGTGTTCCATATGAAAATTCATTAAATTCTGTTGGAACTATTTATGATTTTTATAAAACATTTTAGATTTCCATCAAAAGTTTTATTCAGAAAATATTTCATTTCAACTCTTAAATAAACATTCTACACTGACTTAATTGAACACTATAATACAAGATCGAAGGTCAATAAATGCATTCAAATTGGTAAGTGTATACTCTATATTTAATGCAACAACACTCTTTAGGCGTTGGTTGTAAAATTTACAATTGAATTTCACAAGAAATTTAAAAGTTGAGATCAACAGCATTTAAAAAACATTATGCAATTGGATATTATATAATAATGATAATATTAAAAATGTGCTCACATTAGGTAAATTCATTTTAACAGATAATTCATTTCAAAAAGCTACTAACAGTTGACATAATCTTAATTTTCCAACTAACCTAGTAGATAAGTCATCAACTGAGAAGAAGAACATATGATTGAAATTGTTATAAAAAGTACAAACTATGTGGATTTCAGTTAGTATTGAAACGCCTGAGGAAGTTATTGTATATCGAAATACATGTATACCTGTTGAGGTTTTGTAAACTTCATCCCAAATATCAGCTAATTCCATTACATGTATGAGGAAAACTATCAGTTATCAAAGTTATTTGTTTGGATAATGTTGAAATGGGACACATTTTTTTTCAATTATACACATTGATCTTGACTTCCTTCATTTATTTTGAGATATAAAAATACTATTTGTTTGATGTACTATTATCGAAGTTATTTGTTGAAAAATGCTATGAGATGGGTCAAAGATTTTTTGTATCATACTCATTGATCATTACTTTCATCTATAATATTTTGAAGGCTAAAATTCTGTAGAGAGTTTCACTTTATGTTGTAGATGAGCAATAAGGAAGGATTTTCGAATATTTCAACTGCTGTGCCAGCTGCGGGGAAAAGGGGCGTTCATTGAATGAAGTTACATTTTTTAATATTCCAACTACGGGGCCAGCTACGGGGGAATAAAATGAAGTTAACTTTTCATCACGGTTTCTCCATACCGGTATATTTTCGGAGGCTGAAATTTTATATTTGGGTTCGTTTTATGTTGTAGATGTGCAATGAGATTTTTTTTTCTGAATGTTCCAACTACGACGCCAGCCGCGGAGGAAAAAAGGAGCATCCATAAAACATAATTATCTTTTCATCACTGTTTCTCCATGCCCTTAAATTTCCGCTGGGTGAATTTAAATTTAGTATCAGCATTGCACCCGTGCAGAGCAAGGGCGGTTCGCTAGTATAATATATAAAGTAGCAGAGTGAACAAACAGAGGCATCACAAAAGAAACATACATACGGAATGAAATTTCATATAGTAACTCTTTCATATATTATATTGTGACGCGTTCCTATGGATGATATCGTTTCAATCATACTATGTTGTTTCCAAAAGTTTTGTCCATTTTCATGAGTCTAATTTGAATTGTAATATCTCAGTGAATACATATTCAATTCAATAAAAAATGCACCATTCAAATCAGTGCACTTTTGCCAACGTAACACGACTCGAATAGTTTCTTCAGTATGAAAATTGTGTACTTGGGATTCTATGAAGTCGACGAAGGCCAATTTTTGCCGGCTCCTGATTGACGAAGGTTTAATCGATTAGAGAAGTTATCGAAGTGCTTGAAGAAATGGTAGTCGGTTGGCGAATGGTCTGGGGAGAATGGTGCGTGAGGCAGAATATGGATGCTAAAATCGTTGATGTTTGGACGGTGATTTATGAAACGTGAGGACGGGCGTTGTCGTAGGGCAGGCTCGGACCTCTTCTGTAATACCTAGCAATGTCAGTATTTTAAAACATGGAATCATTTGCATGAAATACACAAATTTCACCGGCGAATTATCGCTTTAAGAAAAAAATAAACAAAAAAAAAAACGATTTCAGTCATGAAGGAAATAACAGTTTAAAATTTATCGGCTAACTAGCCAGAAGGAGAAAATATTTATGTAAAAACACTTGTGGGTCATATATTATTATTTCAAATACGGGACCGCTGGACGGAAATCTTGGATAAGATAAACAGCCTAGGTCATAAAGACTTGTAGAGTGGCGACAGTAATCTAAACAAAAGGCTTTCGAAGTTTTGCTGAGTGAACAATTTCGTGGGAAGTCGGAATTCTGAGACTTGAAACCGAGCTTAGCGTCCATTAAAAAAAAGGTTT